CCCTCCGCGTGAATCAAGCCCGACAGAAGCAGCAGCCTCTGTTCCCATCAATCAGCCTCCTCCCCCTTGCCCACCAAGACGTACACGTCTCTCTCGAAGGGCACGCCGACAAAGGGGGCGGGAAAGGGGGGAAGGGGCGGCTTCGTCCCCATTCCCTGCTCGTCGATGCCTCAGCTGGGTCCCTTGGGGGCACGAGAAAAGTATGTATACGCAGGGTGGGTCTCTCCGCCGATCCTTCGACACTTGTAACGCACCAGCTCTCGGTCGGATTCGGAGCTACTCACCAAGGTGCCGCCCCCCCCCCCCCCCCCCCCCCCACCACACCCCCCCCCCCCCCCCCCCCNCCGCCCCTCCATCCCAACCAACGACCCCCCCCTACCCCCCGGCTCCCATCATGGCTCTCCTCTCGCACACCACGTTTTCACAACCGCGGTGCAGCGTCATTGGCACCCACTCCGCTCCCCTTCTCCGTCACGCTCTCTCAAGAAAACAGCGCGATTCCTTACGCGCGGCGCGCACCAGCGACATCGCCGCCCCCCTTGACCTCTTTCTTCCTTTCTCCTCGCACAAAAACGCCCGTCAAACTCCTTTGAAGGCTCGCCGCCGCACAACGCGTAGGCAGACGGCCAAGCACCGGCTAAGCAAAGCGCCAATTGCCGCTAATCCATGAAACCGCTGGTCCTTCCGTGGTTGGTTTTTCAAAACACGGGACAACGGAAATGTGGGACGGGAGCAAAGAGGAACGGTGCGATTCACCAGGTGGTGTAATACTTTGTTGTTGTTGTGTTCACATGAAAAATCGTTCCGGTCTCCTACTCAGTACCTTCAAGTATCCGTACTGGTGTCGTTTTGGCTTCTACTCGGTGCTTGAAATATCCGTACTGGTCTAACTGACTCGCGTCAGAAAAACATCGCCGGAGTCTCTTACTCGGCGTCGGCAGTGCTCCAGAGGGGGTCCGGAAGTACCGACAACACAAACAAGCCTTGCAAACGCCACCTCCTACGACAATGGGAATGAACAAAGGACGCTGTTCACACACTTTTGCGGGCGAGTGCTGCTGCACCTCTGCTGCTGTTGCTGCCGCGTGCGCCTTTGGCGCGGTTCACTCCGAGCGGTGGTACCCCCCCCCCCCCCCCCCCCCCCCCCCCCCCC